TATATCACGAATATCTACACGCGGAGTAGAATGCTTTTGACCATTGACCCGCAGAACACGGATACCGGGTCCCACCCGAATTATTGGGCAAACTTGACCTATTTCCAACAGTTTACACGTGGATGAACAACTATATCATGGAGATCCGTGAAGCAATCATTGATAGCAATATCCTCAAATCATTTTGAAATTATTTCAATCCATGAAACAGGTCGAATATGTGTATGGATGAGGAACATGACTCATCATATCCAAGTATCATGCAGATTAATTTCAACAAAGATAGTCAAACAATTTTGTATGAAGATAATGCTGATTGTATTGTACAACTCAAAGGAGGTTATATCAAAACTGCAGGACGAAGCATATTTCTTCAAAATTCTTTTATACACACAAATTTCAAAAAAATAGCGACATCAATATACAACAAATTCGTTTAAGTGACAATGTGGTTGATTTATTCATAAAAACACTACCAACATCTACATTCAAAAAATTGGTTCACAATATTGGAATGCATCGACTCAAAGATTTTCAATGATCAACATTTGGGGGAGTAGTTGTACTCTTTTTCCTTCGATTAGTTTTTATCCCATTGGGTTTTTTTAACAAGGTTTTAATAAAACAGCATTTATATTTAATACTTCAAAATAATTGTACTCTTTTTCTTTTGTTTATTTTTTTTTCCAATTAGGTTTTTATCAAACAAGATTTTAACGAAATAGATATTTTGCAATGTGTCATTCAAGGGGAAGTATTGTAAATGGTAAGTTATCGATGAAGGACAATGTACCCTTACAGCCCTAGAAATTATTACCATATATATCCATAATCATTCTCTATAAATATAGGGTTTTGATTCTCATTATAATACACACAAGTCTATTGACTTCTCTTATTCTATTCTCTTTTTCTCTCTTTTCGTAACAAAAATGACAATACTCACTAATATCGATTACCCCAAAAAACAACAAAAATAAAGCTNTGATTCTCATTATAATATACACAAATTTATTAACTTTTATTCTCTCTTATCTTATTCTCTTTTTTCATTACATAAATTTTATATTAGCCTTTTTTTTTTTTTTTAAATGTGTGGTTTAAAAAAGGGGGGAAAATATTGAGGCCCCGTTCGGGAGGGATTAAAAGCCAATTAAAATTGAAAATATGATCGTTATTGGGTCCCACTCGTCTAATAAAAGTCAACATTAACGACTATATTTTCAATTTTAATCCGATTTTAATCCCTTCCATACAAGGCCTGAATTTATGTTTGAGTCTTAGTTTTTTATTTCTTTTTCGATTGAGACTTTAATGTTTTAGCTCAGAAATCCTTTTATATGCCCTTAAATTGAGTGAGACGACAATCCAACAGAATTTGTTCTCGCCAACTCTACAGCATTTCTTTTGGTAGTGAAGATGGTTTAACACGAGTTTAGAAGTGAATAGACTTGGAATTTCTCAACAAACTTAACTAATGTGAGTTATTCTTATAATTTAAGGAGTGTTTGACACTCATTTTAATGGGTTGAAAAAATTTGAAATGGTGATTGATGGGAGAATGTGTGGTGGAAAAAATATGAAAAAGTTTTAGATTTGTGTGTAATATTATTATATTATTTTATTTGAAAAATGTATGGTTGAAATGAAGAAAGAGAAAAAAAATAAGAAAATAGGTGCCAAACAGGGGCTTAATCACATTTTCTTCATAATAAAAATTAAAATTCAATAACATCCCACTAACATACTCCAAAAATGATATAAACTGTTACGAAGAGACTACAAAGTGTATGACAAGACAAATAGTTACGTTGAGTACAAAGAAGACACATCGGATATAGTTTAATTATATCATCCAACTCAGTCTAGTACATTATCTTCAAGTTCTACGTCCTCGTTAATAATCAAACTTAATAATCAAACCAAGTTCATATTTTTACGACAACACATTGCATATCACACTAGTGATTGCTCAATAATAAACATCATTTCTAATATTATTACTAACTTTTTCTTTAATCAAATTATCATATGTAATAAATTTCAGAAGGTTCTTAACCCCCCCCTCCCCCCCCACACCCAAAACAAAAACCAAAAAAAAAAGGGGGAAATCTTAAAAAGTGCTGGCATTCCAGTTAAGAATGCTTGTGACGTTGTCCAAGCTTTCCAAGTAAATTCAACGTTATAAACTCAACTTTATAATTGCTTGCAACTGCTGTGGCTTCTCTAATAGCAAAATGTAGTACGTCAATTCTCTTATGAAGGTATCCTTCGAGAGGCCTAAAAATCCCCAAAACTAGCTAAAAACAGAACTTGAACAAGAATTTTTTTTGGCGTAGAATAATTTGTCAGAACGGCAGTACAAATAGATTTAATCATTTGACGTTGAAGATGAAACTGAAGGTACAGATTGCATAGCCTCATTCGGGCTGGCTCGTGAGGTTTCCTTTTTCAGCTTGGTGTTATTGTATGCTGCTACTCCTGCAATAGCTGCATAAGAATTCAACATTTTTATTTCTACAGATGGCTAAATTGTTAAGCACAAAATTGGCAGCACCACAAAAATAGCAGATTATTGCAAAGAAAATGAAATAACTGCAAATATTCTTATCAATCTGTAACATGAATTAAGTCAAGACTGGTGGAAAGCATTGATGGTGAAGATAAGTCAAAAGTTTAAGCCTAAACGAAAAAAAATAAAATTGTTGAACTTTGAAAGATTCATTCGGCCTTTAAGATAATTATAGATATATTTTTTAATCAAACAAGAAAATTTCTTTTGAAATATTCACGCAGTCACAGAAATATTCAACTGATTTCTTATTTAGTTTTAGTGTGTAAAATTTGAGTATTGTTGATAGTAATCAGTTCTGGAACATAAAGCTTGCTTCGAGAAATGATAACAATCCATTGTGGAGTAAATTGCATATAAATTTCAGCATCTACACGCTACTCATTTTCTTTTCAAATATCTTCCAAACCTTGAATCCAACTCGTTTCAGCTCCCGAGCCCCACTATCTCTAGAGGAGCGATTCAAGGTTTGGAAGATATTTGGAAAGAAAATGAGTAGCGTGTAGATTTGTGTAGTCGAAAAAGTAGTGGTCACAATGAGATGCTTGGTTACGGGTTGTGAAGTTAAAAATAGTAAATAAAAATGAATTGCACTGTAGGTCCCCCAACATATGAATAGTTTTTAGTAAGTTGATTTTTGAACTTTTTTTGGTTAAGACTTGTTGAGTGCGTTTGGTACACAATATTAGACTGTATAAGGAATCTGATATAATATTAACATAAAAAAAGTAAGAAAAAGAATACTTACCAATGGCATAACCAAATATATTGATAAGCGTCAACTTTGTATCAGCGAAAAGAAGGGCTGATAGTAGGACAACCACCCAATCCTTGACTACCCCAGCCACACGAATGGTCAGAGCACTTGTATGTGAGATCACAAGGAAAACCGAGAGATTGAGGGCAAAGGTACAAAGAGAATTAAGTGTCAGAACAAGAGGTTTGAAGCTCCAAGTCCCCTGTTCATCCATCTTTGGCTTCTCCAAAAAGATCCATGGAATTAACAGGCAGAGAGCACTGCATAGCAAATCAAGAAATTATAAGCACACTGAAAGTGTTTTAAGTTCAAAATGGTCTAATGCATGTATAATATGACCAATACTTTAAAGGATAATATACATGCCTGCAGGGGCTAACATAGTACATCACCGAAATGGGGTTTAATTTGATTCCCTTCCGTTTTACTAGAATCTCCATAAATATAAGCCTCAAAGCTTCTCCAACTACACCTCCCATTTGGTAAACAACACCAATCCAGTTTATATTTATTTCCCCATAAGAAGCTATGAGTACACCGAAACTGATCACTGACATAATAAGAAGCATCCTGCAGCTCATCATTTCAAGTCCGGCTGCCACACCTAGAATGAAAACAGCAACTGGCACTAAAGATGACACCAGATTAAGCAATCAGTATCTTTAGCCAACGGCATAGATTATAAGGCAGAAAATGATAGGTGCTTCCAAGACCAAACGGTTACCACCAATAAAACATATACCGTGCAACATGTGCAAATGAATTTGACAGCATATACATGATAATACAATTTAGTACAGATGTGATTGTGATGTAAGGCCAGCTTATAAAATTAACACTTCCATGTCACAATAAAAGCATAAGGCATCTGTCAACTAGAAAACTAATGATACTCACTGATTGCTTTCAACATTTGAGCAAATGCAACAGATATATAGAGGTAAGCAGTGTTTCCAAGCCAAAGAGTCATTGCAAACGTTGCACCAATTGGGATAACTGAATATATATATCTGTATTTTCAAAACTCAATTAGTTAGTAACATAGTTTTAGCAATTCTTAGTTTTTAAAGAAAATAAATATGGAACTAAAACTTAATATGGAGCAAACAAAGGGAAAATGCTAAATGGGGTGAGAGAAACAACAAAATGCCAAGTCCTCAACTTATCCATGCGGCACAACACTTTATTGTTTAAATTATTTTTATCATGCCATTTGAGTGTAATGGAGAGATGCAACACATTAATGGAAACTGCATAATGCCATTGGAATGTACAAAGGAGAAACAAGCCACTAAGAGAACTGCATAATGCAATTTAAGTTGCCATTTTAATGTACCAAGGAGATGCAGCCAATTAACTAAGCCCCTGTTTGGTGGGGATTAAAATTAAATTTTTAGTAGATTTTGATAAAAGTTGATTAAATGTGTGGTTGAAAAATTGTGAGTTCTATAAAATGTGTGGTTAAAATTAATTGTTGACTTTTGACTTAAATTAAAATTTGAATTTTAGTTTTTACCAAACAAGGGCTAAAACTGAATCAACTATCTATATGCACAAGCTACATCTCACTCAAAAAAAGAAATGTGTGGAAAGATCTTGCATAAAGGCTAAAGCTTGTTGCTTGAGAAAGGAGAAAGGATAAACAATATGTAAATTAAACCCCACCAAGAAGACACAACCTCAAACATCAGAGAGGAGACTACTCACATGTCCAGAGTCATTCCTTCCTCAACATTCATAATCTATAACAAAATAGAAACAATATTACATTTTACAGAAGAAATATAAAGAACAAACAAAAACCAAATGATGAACCCAGTCAATACCTCAGAAAATATTTACCTTCAAAACTTTGGTAAGCATGAAACATAATACAGAGGAGAAGACCATGTGAAGTAGCGTCAATCCAAGTGGATATGGGAAGTTTATTTCCTTCGAGGACAAAACCCACTGCATTCCAAGATATTTAATGAACTCCGATGAGAGGGAGAAAAGATCAGAGGTGAAGCAAATTTCATGAGTATCTCACTTGCAAAAACTAGAAATGCTACAAAATCTTTTTTTCTAAGTTTGGTAACAGATTTTCAACATTTTCCTGTCCAAAAAAAGTGAGGAAGACGAGAACAATAGGCAAACAGATATATATATATATAATGGCTGACCTGCCAGAAAAATATCAGTTACTTAGACATTAGACAACGAACAATGATGTGGAGACCTAAAAATGTATGTAGAAAGGTCCATAGCAAGTGCATCCCCTCTGCCATTCTCTCTCCCTTACGCAAGCATACGAGCACATTTAGAAGGGTTTAAAAAACGTTAAACTGGGTATTGATGCATGTTGGCTCTAGGGGAGAGTTGTAAGCCTCAAATAATTCGAAAATTAATCATAAACCATCTAAAATTTCTTAATAAAAGATTTCAACTAAATTGAAATTCTAATTGCAACTCGAGAAGTTATAAAAGAAAGAACAGTGTCAATTACATATAGTAGGTCTCCTGTCACCGGTCATTGGCCACTAAGACGTTGCAACTTCAATTTGGAGAGGGATTTATAAAAAGTTAGCAGAGTTGGGTAGTGTTTAAAATAGCCCAAACCCTTTGAAACGTCCTATGCAATAAAAATGTCAGCCAATAGAGATGAGGTCAGTAATAAAAAGTTCAAAAATGGGAAATGAGCATACAACTCAACCGCCCCAAGGTGCATGCCTTGAAGAGTCTGCCTCAATAGTCAAGATGTAAACCTTGAAAAATTGTACTCAAATCATTAGCTTTGAGGCTGTAAATGAAGGTCAAGCATTTGGCCCTCCTCTAGGTATAAATCTCAGATGTTTTTGAAACAATACATGTTCATTGTCACATAATTCTGCATTACTTCTCCATTTCATCCACCCCATTCTTTTTCAAATTTTCCGTCCTTTTTTATTTGTAGTATAGCTGACATTTCCTATTTACAATGGATTTTGAAAAATTTCCAATATCTCACATTTTCTTTCATTAAACAGCTTGTCGAATCTTTATGAGACAAAAGTCTTTGGTTCTCATCTTTTATACACTTGAATTGGTTTGGATCCGTACTACATTTATTCCTCTGCTTAGTTATCTTATAAATAAATTTATCTCCTTCATTGGTTCCAAGATAGCTATTAAACTTCTAATATTCTGCATAGGACTATCAAATCACCCTCCAGGCTTCTCGTTTAGATAACTTATACCTTTCAAAAGTCTCCACATTTATATCTTTTGCTAAGTTCCTATGACATTCTATTGTATTCTTAACTGTCATTTAGACCTTTTCATTTCACCACCATGTCTCCATTTTAGTTAATTTTCTACCCTCAGGTTCTCCTAAAACTTCCCTTGATATCTTTCTAATAAAACTAGACATCTCATTCTACATCATGATACTGTCTCCTTTTATATCACATTGTCCTACATTTGAATCTCTATCATTAAAATTCACTTATTTTTTCACTATCTTGTTTCATGAAATCTCAACACCTTGGTATTTCTTTTCCATTTCTTATTAACAATATCAACATCTGCAGCCAATTTTGTACAGTTAAGCTATCTCCAGGAATTACCTAAAAATCCTTGCATATGGACCTACAAACCTTCCCGGTAAGGCTAAGTCCCTATTTGCGGCGCATTATTCAGGTGGAAAGTAGAAAAAAAAGGACCGTTATTTTCAAATGTGGGCCCCAGCTGTGAGATAATGAGTCAAAAATGGTGGCCGGCAACGGTTGGAATTTTTCTAAAGATGTAGAATTAATGCTGAACAAACGGGGTCTAAAATCAATATAACTAGTGCCCATATCTAAAAGTTAGGAAATTTGTGTTTCTCTTTTTAAAGAATGTATTTGCTAACACTAGATCACAAGTCAAAGTAGTAATACCTTCCTGATTTTGATCTCCAAATCCAAAATTTTCATGTACTCGTTCATATCCCCAAGTTACATTTCTCCACATGTTGGTTCAAATCCCCCCAAACAAAAATCTTGTTTTAACTAGCTATTGTCTGAACCAACCCTTTCATGTTTTCCTAAACTATTGTTTGGTTGTCTTATCTAATAGACTAATCCTTTTTGTAGAGCATTAGTGCTAACAACATTTATTTACTATTGGCTAAAGGAAGACTGATTAACACCTAAGTTGCTCGGACTCGGGTACGGGTATCAGGTACGGGTACGTATTTAAGTGCCGGATTTTTTATTTTTTAAAATGGAGGATACGGGGACATGACCAAAAAGAGTCTAAATTTCGGACACGGGTACGTGGGTACGTTTTTGAAACTTCAATTAATTTTTTTTTTTCCAAAAACTTCATATGTAAAATTAATCAAAAATATTAATTTCAAAAAATGCTATT